TCGGTGAGTTATTTTGATGGAATGGCCAATGTCCGATATTTAACTTTATTGCTAATATCGTCCGATACGATACAATGCCGACAAAATCGTGCATCCCTAATTATTTCTGTTTTTCTCTTTTATTTACTTGGATGATCTCACTGGGACATGTCATTCTCACAACAGAGCTGGTTCAAAGTAACAATCTAAGAGTGTAGTCACAAACAGCACAAGGCAGACTGCAAGTAAATGAATGTATCATATGAAACAGAGCAGAATCCTCAAACATGAACCAGTTTTCATTGATTTTAGGATACATTTAAAACCTGTTAATGGAGCTAAGCTGAGCAGTTTCAAGCCTTGTTTATTGCAGAAGGAGCAGAGGAGAATGCCTTTTTTTATACAAGTCCAAGCTAAGGTGACAAAGGACTGTGTGGGGACAGCTAAACTAGTTGACATATAGGAAGATAAATAAGTTGGCAGAAGGCAAATGATGGATTTCTAAATTAATTTGTGCCACTTTAAAAGTCTACGTGTGGACATTGCTGGCATGTTGACAGTGTCATTGTAGTAAAAAAGTTAAAAAGTGCCAGAAACAAGCTATTTACTCACATCAAATGAAAGACAGGATTTGTTTTTTAAAGGAACCCCAGTTTTCATTTAAGTTTTTTTTAAGTTGGTTAATATGGGACTAAAAAGAAAATTTCTTAAATTACAATACCAAAAGGTTTTGTAGAAAGACACACATTCAGTAGGTGTGTGATGGGTGGCTTTGAGTGTGGAGAACTGTTGTGATTTTTTTGATTGTTTGTTTGTTAGTTAGGGAACATCATCCCTTTATCTTTGTCAACATTTAACATCATTTTGAGATGTACCACGTGATTAGTTAATGTTAAATGTAGACTGCAGGAGATCAAAGACCAGGGTGAGGCTGCTAGCACAACAATAAATTACGGTGTCATCGGCATAAAGTGATAATCTAACCCACATTATTAATGTAAATTGTGAAGAGGTTGGGTCCTATGTCAGAGCCTTGTGGCACACCGTTTTTGATCTTTAGATAAGTGGAAAATAGACCACTGAGTTACACACTGTTTGCAAACGAGAAAGATAATTATAAAGCTTCTTGGTCTTAATGAACTGAAACAAGATGAGAGGATCCACAGTATCAGATGCTTCTGACACATCTATAAAAACAAAACAAACAAACAAAACAAAACAACAACGTAATTTAAAATTTTAGTAGAAGTGTTTCCAGTGCCTTGCTGTTTCCTCTAGCCAGACCGATGAAAACACAAGTTATTATTAAAACACAGGAACTCCTTCCGCTGATTAATTACAAGTTCATACATCTGTGTAAACTGTTGTACTCAGCTGCATTTCATTTGCTGAATAGATTGTTATTTAAAAAAAACACATCTAAGTAAAGAGCAGCCCTAAAAGTCCAATCCATGGTTTCTAAACTAAACCCACAACTTTTACCAATACTGTACATATGTCTAAATTAATTAACTTTAGAGCCAGTTTTTAATTTAGTGTCTTTTTGTGGGAGGCTGACATCTGCTGGCCTCCTGCCAGAATACCAGAGAAGGATCAGATTTCCTCAAACTGTTATTTGAGTCCATCATGATCTCTTTCATTAAGCAGCTGCATCAGCGCACAACATGTCCAGCCATCTTATAATGTTTGACGTGGAGTCGGGGGAGCAGGCTGATCCGATAGTGAAATTTAATTCTTCTGATGGGACGACTAATAGATATTGATTACACGGCTGGAGAGTCCCTGGATACCTCATACGGAGACAGATCCTCACATAATGTCACTGACACATGATGAATGCTAATTTTCACTGAATGCAAACGTCCTCTGCAGCTAAACTCGTTCTCTCTGAGAAGTGACAGGACCGGAGGTGAACACAGTCAGAGCACAGTGGAAATAATTTACTGTCTGCTTTTATTGAGCTGAATAAAACCTGGAGACAAGACATATTTCATCTGTCTGCTGTGAGTTGCAGATTATTTTTACCTTTTGTTTTGCTCCAGTTTGTGTGAGTTTATAATAAAATTGTGTTCTTGTGATCATTTTACTTATTTGTGTTTTTTTTTTGTTGTTGTTATTTTTCGTCTTCTCAATTTGTTTTATGTCCTTTTTTATGTTTTGTGCTTGTCATCATTTTATGAAGTTTTGCTTTTTGCTTTTTGATCTGGTTCTAGCGTTTCTCTGTCCAGTCAGTGTGTTTTCTTGTGATTGTGTCTTTTTGTTGTCGTTTTGTCTTCATGGTAGTCTGTGCCTCTCGTGATTGTTTTGTCTTTTTGGAATCCCATTAAGCATTTTGTGTTGCAATTACTTTTAAAAAATTAATCGTTTTGCTAACTTATGTTTTGCATGTTTTTAGTGTTTTATTGTGTCTTTTTGTGTGTTACTTTGTGTCCTTGTGAGGATTTTATTGTTATTTTTGCGATTGTTGAGTCTAACACCTGTTGGTCAACATTCGTTTCTCCGTGAGTCTATAACAATTGAGGTAAAACCCAGAGTAGAGGATCTGAGGCAAAACAGACTCAAACTCTTAAATAGGTGAATTTATTTACAGTGTAAGATTACAGGAGAGACTGGGACACGGGGGGGGGGGGGGGGGTGTAATAGTGGCTTCTGGAAGGGAGCAGTTATGAACAGGGTTTCCATTTCTTACTTGTGGCTTGGCGAGTTCACGGCATTGAGAGGAGGGCAGAGGATTCCATGTAAGTGGGGTCAAAGGTTGAGGAGCGGTGACGTGCAGTCAGGTGAGACAGTGTCTCACCTGCCATCATGACATGTACTAACAAAATAAGAGAGAAGACATTTGACCACTTTGCTGTTTTCTGAATTATTTCAACACTTCAGAGCAGCACGGTGGTGCAGTGGTAGAGCTACTGCCTCTCAGCAAGCAGGTAACCCTGGTTCACATCCCAGATGCAAATCTATAACGGTACACTCGTTTAATTTTTTTATAGACAAAATGGAAGATCATATGTCAAAACTAAAGTATTTTTCTAAACTCGATTTTCAATCGAAACAGAAGGTATTAGAGAGAGGAAGACCAACTCTGGAGCTGAGAGATCTGCTTCAAACAAGTGGGAAAAAGGTGACCTGCTCGTTTCAACCGGAGTGGTACACCCAAAAAGAGTGTCTGTGTGGTTGTGCTAAAAGAGGACGCCTTTTCTGCTTAAAGGCTAAATTGAAATATAAGCTTCTGTTTTGGGTTCATATATGTGAGCATCTGATTCCAGACGGGTCAGTGCCTCACCGGTCACAAAGCTCATCACATATCTCTGGTGGTAAGGACTCGTCTTGGAGGCACAAGGGAGAGAGCAGGTAATCCAGGACTTGGGGCCCAGGAGGCAGGTTTGGTTGGTACAATGCTCCAGCAGGGAGCTCATCAGAAGAAATGGACCACAGCTGCTGCTCGTTGGTGCCCCCCCCAGAACTCAGGAACCTACAGAGGAAACATGAATCCTACAGAGTCTTTTGTCTTTATTTATGATTGTTTTTCATTTTTTCCTGGTAAGTTATTTTCATCTTTCTGAACATTTTCCCCTCTTTGCTGTAGGTTCAGATCTCGGTGTTTGTTTTATTTCTCTACATTTCTCTTCTGCACACGTGTTGCGCTGTTTTACTTGTTGCTCCCTTCTCTGACGTTGTGACCCCTGAACTCTTTGTGGTGACGCTGAGTGAGAAACCTCAACAAGATGATCTGAAGATTTAGTTCAAATCCAAATAACCAAAGAAATAAAACTAAAATGTAAACTTTTTTGAAGTCTGAAAAAAAACCCAACAACAGATATCTGCTCTAATGACTGACTCGCTACAATCATAATTTCTCTCTCTTCATTAGGCAAATTTTCAATTTAACTATTGATTAAATTAGTGATCATAATTAAGTTCTTCACCGTTCTCTCTGGTGCATGTTTTGAATTTGATACAACAAAATCAGCTCACAACCCAATTTAAGCTACAACTCACAGTTTGATGGAAACAATGGTTTGAGAACTTAACCACATTAAACACAAGATTTAAATAAAACATAAATTACTAAAGAAAAAAGAATCACGTTAATGCATTAACATATTATAAAACAACAGCGTTTACTATAACTAATAGTCAAAGTGCTTCTATGAGCCTTTTTGAGTGCCACCTAATATAATTACTGTAAACCAATAATATTTATTAATGTGTGCACATA